AGAGATTTGCTCTGCTGCAGGGGAGCAGTTTGATTTTGCACTGGGTTCCTCTTCCAGCAGATAGTAGACGTGCAGACAAGTGATGGGAGTTAAATACCTCTCTCTGCTCGAGCCTTCTGGTTAGACTCCAGGTTGGGGAGGAATTGTAGTTTCCTAAGCATATGTGCTATTCATCCTCCAGAAACCAGATTGTTGTGAGCCTGCATGAATTTTCCATTTTCCAACCTTAGAGTAAAGCTGGAGATGTTTGCAGTGCTCGGTGCCAAGCGGGACAGCCACTGATCCTTTACTTCAAGAACTGATCTTGCTTAGATTCCTCCGTGGAGTGGTCATAGCATTTTGAAACACACGCAGCACACACAGTACGTGCAAAAGACAACGTAAACAACAAATTGTTTTCAAATGTGCCAGACTGAGAGCGCTGTATTTGCTATTTATTCGCTGTTGCGCTCCGCATAAATATTTCTCTGAATGTTATTTATCGTAAAAATAAATGGCATTATGTAAATGTGACTTTAACGTCATATGATGTGACTTGCAATAAAATATGATAAATATATAAAGAAGATTAATTATGGGACTTCCTATAAAATACAGAGTACATGCTTATTTTGGAGAAAGAAAACCGAGGCTCTACTTGGGGACATGCAATTAAATGCATCTCTTTAGATTATATTATCATGCTAATTAGCAATGGCAAGAACCAATTAGGACTACGGCTACCAAATCACCAGACTACACTGCGCATTCACTAGTGCACCTTCACCACCCCACTGTGGGGTTTTTGCTGGAAGCAAATAAAAATGCTTCACAGGGAACTAACTTTTTAAGAAAGTTGCTGGTGTCTCGATCCAAATTTTTGCTCTGCTTCTGTAAATTGTCCCACTGAAGTCAGCAGAACTACTCGCGTGAGAAGGACTAGATTGCGACTGCAGAAAGAATGGACGTGGCTGCTTTAGGTGGCAATTAAAAAACGCGAGATACGAAATGCCTTCTTTCATTTAAAATGCCTATTGTCTGAGTACGTGAGGTTAGTGATCTGTCACTGGCAGAAGGCAGGAAGTGAGACTTTCATTAAAGGCGCTCTGTGGGTGCCGCGCATTTCTCAGCGCTACGCACCTCATCTATCACTGCGGGAGGAGGCCCGGGCGCCGCGGGAGCGCGGGGCCGGCGGCGCGGCCCCTCCGCGCGCGCGGGCGGCCCCTCCGCGCGCGCGGGCAGCAGGTGAGGCGCGCGCAGCGGCCGCGCCAGCTCCGCTGCCACCGCGCCCGGCTGCCCGTGCGGGAACAAAGCGGAGCGAGCATATGGGCAGCAGATTGCGGCGCGCGCCCGAGCAGCGCTGCCGCGCGGAGCCGCGCGCTGCCAAAGAGCTCCTCCGTGCCTTTGGCCTTGGCACCCACCCCCGGCCCCGCGCCCTCCTGCACGCAGGGCGCGGGGGCTCCTCTCAGGCCCCCCGGTCCCGTTGGCTGCCTTGCGGAGCGCTGGCGGAGCGTGAGGTGGGGAGCGAGCCCCAGCCTCGCTGCGGCCCCTCAGCGCTGCCTGCACCCTGCCTGTGGGAACTGCTATTAACAAAAGAGTAACAAAGAAAGCCTTGGCCTGTTGATAGATTCTGCTCATCTTCTCAGGCCGTTCCATCTTTGGCCTCTGGGTGAAGGGGATGAACAAGGTAAGCAATTAGTGTCAGGAGCAGAGCCGTGAATTCGTCTTTTATAGGGTCCCAAATAATGCTGGGCAGAGGGGCACGGGTGGTCGCTTTCTTCACCTGGATTTTAATGCCTCTGGAAGACATTTGTGCCACAGAGCATCGCAGGGTTTCTGCAGTGAAAAAGCCGAACTGCTGGGCAAAAAGGCTGCATTTTGCTTTACTTTGGCCTTACAGAAAACTCCCTGGGCTATTTCAAAAAGCTCTCAAAAACCTAAGGCTAGAGCAGGGAGTATAATGGAGAGGTAACTTTCCACTAGGCACTGTGCATATTTATGGGGCCAAAGTAAAGAATAAATAATAGTCCACAAACACTGCGTTCTGCGCTCGTGTGTACCAGTTGTGCCAATGGTTTCCGTGCTGTAGCTGCTGCTGGTGAATGTTGCATCAGCTTTTTAACTTGACCTGAATTGTGTGTGTGCTTTGCAAATATTAAAATCACTCCAAAAGTAATTTTTCAGCCATACTTACTGGTGAGTATGTATATTTTGATCCCATTTGTGACTGGGATTTTTAGAGGAACTGAAGGAATGAAGTTCCCAAAGGATTTGGGTGCCTCAGGTCTCTCTGCTCCTTGAAAAATCTGCCTTTCTAAGAGTGTTATCTTCTCCTCAGACAAAGCATTGATATCTGAAGGTGTCATTTGCACCAGCAAGTATGCACGTGAGCAGAAGACAATATTAAAAAAAAATAAAAAATAAAAAAAACAGAAATCAAACGAAGTGAAAGTTTCCCTAAAGTTTACTCGACATATGCGATGACTATGAGCAATTTTTTCTTTAAGAAAGTAAAGATTGGAGGATTCGCTATCAGGACTGCAACTCCCATCTCCAAAATAGCTAATGAATCATCCCAGCCATTTGCACTGAAAAGCTGGAATAATTCCTGCTGATGGAATGGAACAAGGCCACAGTTTCTTTTGGAAGTGACTGGCTGGCTGAGCCTGGGTTTTCCATGTCCAGCCCAGAAGCCTTTCACAGCGGTGGCCGTTGAATACGTGAGGCGAGAGCGGGGTGCCCAAATGCGTGTGCTCCCAAATGCAAAGCAGTTGCCACCTGAAACCTTTCAGGACTTGGGATTTTCTTAATGTCCTGCCTTGTTGTGCAAGAGCCATTGAGAAAAATAAAAAAACACTTCAGAGGGCACCCATTTCTTCCTAATGTAAACTTTGTGAGGAGTATCCAAAGATATGACCTCTGGGTGAACCTTTAACCTTCCCCTTAATTATTTGTTTGAAGACAGTGTCGAGTTCTCCCGCTGCGAGCCCGGGCCCATAATGCTGCGCAGCCCTGGGAGCGGGGCCCAGCGCGCGGGCCAGCGCAGAGGGACATAAATAAGGGCACCACCAGATGTAAATAATAAAAGTGGCCGGGGTTTAAATAAAACCGAAAAAGCAATTTGGTTTTCCTGAAGAGTGGCCTGATTGAAGAAAACAGGTTCCTTGGGCCGAAAGTGGGGGAGGTTCTGTTGTCTGTGATTTTTTACAGGCCTAAATAAGCGCTGATTCCGTTTCTTAAAACCTTGCCATCTGTATACACCATTAGAAGCTCATAGGAGAAGAGAAAACAGTCTTATCAGGCTTTCCTGTTAATCTCTATTGGCCTTAACTTTAGCTGATAAAAGGCATGCTGGATCGGGGAGGTTCAGGTCAGGCTCCATTTGGTCAGCATGGCAGCGTTACTGGAAAGCAGCTAAGCAAATTAAGTCCTATCGGAGACCTTTGTCTTTGAGGACAGAAACAGGGCTAGAAATCGCGGCATGGAAGCAAGAGGTGCCTTCTGCAGCCGCGAGGGAATAAACAAGTGCAGCGAGTGTGCCTGGGTTTATTTTTAATACCTGAAGTCATGACTGTTTCGGAGGCAGGGTGACATTTCTGACAACTGAATTACGCTCTCTTTCAAAGAATAAAGAATGTCTCACGGGTGTAAAGGGGGTGATGCAAAAGGGGCCTTTTGCGCTACTTGTAGCATTTACTCACCTAACTAATGAATCCCGCAACTACGGTTGCAGCAGATGCGATGGACGTCTTGCTTTGCCCGACGGGGCGCCCATGGGCCACCACGGCACTGCGTAGCTCCCGAGCGCGCGGAGGCTGCCAGGGGGTTGGAGTGATGGGCACATTAGTATTTCTGGATTAAACACTCGTGTTCAACTTCGTTAGCACTCCTTAAGGGTCACCACACTGGGGACTGTGAGGTTGGGTGCAAAACCCCATAGTGCGCAAGCATGAAGAAAAGGGACAGAAACAAGTGTGGCTTGTGAGCTGGGGGAAGCCGTCCCGTTCGGAGAGAGCGCGCGGATCGGGACGTCTGAAATTATTTTAGCGAAATTAATGCAGCCCAAGTTCGTGCCGATGCGGATTGCGGCGCATTAAGTTAATAAGAAATATGCAAGCACTTATTTTTGGATTACCGGCCAAATTAAATCCAGGCTCCACCGCCAACTAACTGCCTTCGCCGGCGTTCAAAAGCCTCGGCAGCCTCCGCGGCCGCAGTGCCCGGTTCGAGGGGGGAAGGAAAAAAAAAAGAGGAAAAAAAAAAGAGGAAAAAAAAAAAACAGTTATTTGGGGGCCTAATATTAAACACATGTACCTGGGACTCCCTGTTCCTAACGAGTTGAAAGGTGCCTGGGTTTATGGCTGGCAGTTGCCTTGTGCAGCGCGCGGGGTGTCCCCCGGCGGCCGCAGAGGTCGCCCCCGGCTGGCACTGACCTCGCCGCGACCCCGGCCTTTACAGGCTCAAACTGCAGGAGTTGCAGAAGAGCAGAAGTCTTTCTGGGCCAGCACTTATTGCTGCTGCGCTGGTGATAAAACTTCAGACAGGCTAATTGATGGCTTTGCTGACCCGACAATACCTTGTGAAAGCACCGAGTGGCGAAGCCTGGTCCTCATTTATGGCCAGCTGCAAGGGGAGCTGAATCCCGGCCACGGAGCCGGGGAAAAAAAAAGGGGAAAAAGGAAGAAAAAAAGGCTCCTAGCCTGTGAACTTTAACCAGGTCCCCAAGCTACTCTGGGAAGTTAAAGAAACAATTGTCTTTTACCACAAGTTCTCGCCCCCCGGTTTCTTGTTGGGAGCCTTCTGGCAAATCCAGCGCTAAGCTGGCTGGTCAGATAAGCACGTTACCCCTTGCAGTTTCCGAGCACTTAGAGGAAAATCCTTTAAGGGGAAGTTACGCTCCTAAAAGGGACGGGGCGAGACGCAGCGCCTCGCCGCAGCCCGCTCGGACGCGCAGCCGAGGTGCTCTCCAGACACAGAAGCAAGCTGATGAAAGGACTTCTCCTCTTTGTATTCTGTTTCAG